GTCGCCCCCCGTCGCCCGTCGTGGCCTACGCGCGGCTCGTACAGCCTGCGCGCGGCCCTTACGGGCTGCGCCAGGCCCGCGCGCGGCTCGGGCCGCCTGCGCGCGGTTCGGGCGGCTGTGCCAGGCCCGTGGGCGGCCCGTTCTTCGCTGCCCCTGCGCTGCCCGCTGTCCCCCGTGCTTCTGATGGCGCCCCACCCCTGCTGCTGCCCGTTCTCCTGAATTAGGGTTTGGGGGTGGGGGGTATGGGGGTGCAGCTTCTGTGTGCCGTCCCCTGCTCCTCCTCCTCCTCCGTCTCCCAGTGCTGCAGCTGCCGCTGAGGGGGGTGGACCTGTTGGAGCCGTCGGAGTGGTACTAAGGGGGGTGAAGGGGGAGTGGAGCTAGGGGTGAAGCAGGGGGTGTGTGTCAGGGGGAGTGGGACTGTTTGGGGAGGTTGAACTGAGGTTGCCGTCGTGTCGCCAGCAGCACCTGTAGTCCGGGGAGTTGCTCCGGTAGCCCAGTCGCAGCCAGCTGTGCCAGTCGCCCGTGGGTCCGTTGCTCGTCTGCCGCTACTTTTAGCCGCGGAGCCAGTTACTCCAGTAGTCCGGAGCGTTGTTCCGGTAGCCGCTGTGCCAGTGTGACTCCTGTTGCCCGTGTGTCTGCAGCTTCAGCCGTCGCCTCCTATCTCCTCTCCTCTCACTCTCGCCTCCTCCTCCTCACTTGCCCTCTGCGATAGCCTCTAGCTTTGCTCATAATTGTGAACTTTAAACTATTGCTTCTTGTACTTGTGCTCAGAATGTGTGGTGACATTGTGATCCACCCTGAGCTTGTTCTGCTTTGCTTGCTCTGCTGATTACACCCCACTTTGGCTATGGGGGTGTGTCAGAATGTCATTGTTCTCTAGCCTGCAGTGGGGTACTCTATAGGGAGTACAACCCCTTAGGGTTTCCTATATGTATCCTGCTGCTTTCTAGTGAACCCCTTCTTCTTTTGCCTAAACTTCTCTTGCCTAGCTAGGACTTACCTAGCTATGGCTCCTAACTCTACCTACTATTTTCACAGAGGTTTGCGGCTAGCCAGTCAAAGTTGAAGCCTCGCGGAATTTGTCGAACGTCGATTCCTGATCCAGCGGCTGCCATCGAACGGAACTCCAAACTTCGCAGCGGACTCCGATGTAGATTGCACCCACGGACAATCGGGAACCGTCGATTCTCGCCATCAAACGGTTGACAATCATCCTCGCCAATTGTGGGGACCCAAGTTGCAACACTCAAGGCTAGTCGAACATTAAACAAAATAAGCATTGCACTTACTCGTTCAACTCCATCCTCGGAGTGCTCCTGGAGGCCCAACGGCTAAGCATTGTCACGAAACCTTCTACTCTGATTACCAAATGTTACAGGTCCAGGAAAGAGAATGTGCTCAAAGTAAATTATAACAACCTGGGTACAACGTCGTGCTATATATATGCATGACACAAGGCTAGTAAACCTGGTGTTGCGAGAAGGTTCCGACGATTGAAGTGTCCCGTACGGATCCTTCCTGAATTCGGTAAAAGCGATTCGGTAGCACGCAGCCTATTCGGTGCATATGATTATAATAAATGTAGTTCAAGCAACAAATCTAGGAAATCAAGCAAAAGCATGCATAATAAAATAAGCCTAAGCAAGATAATGCATGAGAAAGTAGATAAAGTTAAGTATATGTATGCAAAGCCATCGTACTCTCACACATACGAGCCGCAACATCTTGGGACTGCCACACCGACAGGGCTATGTGGGCTTTGTCAAAGAGCTCCTGCACCTCGTCTGTAGTTTCCTCAGGGAGGTCACGAGGGCGAGGAGGCGAACATAGGTCATCAGAGACGTGCGCCAAGAGTGTGTCGCCATTCTGGCACTGACTCTGTAGGTACAACTGTGTGCGGAGGAGCCAGGTGGGGAACTCTAGTGCTCTACCCTCCGCATCAAAACGTAGGGATCGACGAGTCGCCATAGCTAGCGCTCGACCAGACTAGGGGCAAAAGGGTACGAACGAACGAAGCCGGAGACGAGAAAAGCCACAATGGCTAGCCTGGTGGTTACAGCCAAAAGGGATAGTCTAGACACACCAGGCACTAGCTCTAATCTACCTGAGCAAGGGCGACCACGACTGCCAGCTGCCGCGGGAAAACCTATGGCAGTAGGTGAAGCCTTAGAACAAGGGGCCGAGGGGCCTTAGGACGAGGGGCCGCGGGGCCTTAAAAATGGGCGGCCAAGGGGCCTAGGAACGAGGGGCTGTGAGGCTGCTATGGTGCTCACGACAGCTACTGCTCGGAGCGGGGCAGGTAGCGTGGGCAGCGCGGAACGGGGTGGGTATCGCGGGTCGGGTAGCGTGAGACGGGCAACGCGCGGTGCGGGTAGCACAGGGCCAGCTGCGCAGAGCGGGGCGGGTAGCGTGCGGGCGGGACAAGCGGCGCGCGGGCGGGGCGGGCTGGGCGCGGGCGGGACATGTTGCGCGTGGAAGGGCCGGGCTGCGCACGGGTGGGACGGGTTGCGCGCGGGCGGGACGGGCTACGCGTGGGCGGGACAAGCTGCGCGCGGGCGGGACTGACCGCGCGGGCGGGACTGGCTGCGCGTGGGCGGGACGGGCTGCGCGCGGGGGTGACAGGTTGTGCGCGGGCGGGACGGGCTGAGCGCGAGCGGGACAGGCAGCTGCTCGTGACGCGGCCGGGCGAAGAGCGCGTGGAGCGAGACGTATGAAACTTAACAACGAGCGGGAAAACTAACCTAGGTTCCTAGGAACAACCTAGCGCATGATACCATCTCAAAGTGTGCAAGAAGAATGATTACATTAGGAAGGATTAGCATACAAGTACAAAACCTAGAAGGTGTTATTCTCCCTATAGCTTATCTCATTGAAGCCTAACATCAATATGCATAAGTTGAGAGGGTCTTACAAGTTGAAATTGGCAAGCAAATGTAGTTGGTCCTAATTGTTGACAAATTTAGTGTGTTGGTGATTGCCTTTTATAAATTGCTGTGAAAAATGCATGGTCATATCATTTATTAGTCCCATTTTATGGAACAAATCTCGAGCATTAAGAATATGAGAATATAGTAGCTAAAGGTAGCAAATTAGACATACATTATTATTGTTTCTCTTTCATTAATACAGCCTGAATCGAAGATTCCATTATGCTTTGTACGGCACATCGTAAAAGCGCCGAATTCAATAAATGAGTCCTCGTGCTTGCGCTTTGCGGTTCATTATCAGTGTCCATTTTCTCGATAATCTCTAGGTCACATAGCTGAGATTTGGCAACTGGCTTAAAAACCCGCGTGCCAAGAAGTTCAACCTTAGGAAGGTTGGTTGGGGCGAGCAATGCAATTGGCCAAGATTTTGGGAGTCGGCCAAACTCAACCGAGGTTAGGAAGGTTGAACCAATTTAGGCCTTCTTGGCCCCCCGGTTTTAAGATGTCATTCCATGCTCGCCAAAAATTTCGTTAGATTCCGAAGCTGCCAAGTCTTCCGCCTTCCTCATTCCCGTGCCTCACATAACATTCCCAATGTCAATGGGACCCTCTTTTACAAGTGATTTAGTAGCCGCTTGTTCAACATCCCGACATATGCTGTAAGTGAGCCTCGGCTGTCAGAATGTCATTATCTAGCCTGTAGTGGGGTGCTCTATAGCGAGTACAACCCTGTTAGGGTTTGCTATATGTATCCCAACTGCTGCTAGTGAAACCCCTCCTTTCTTCATTTCTCTCTTGCCTAGCTAGCTAACCCTAGCTATGGCTCCTCACTCTACCTACTCTCTCAACATCGGCAACAGGTTCGTCATTCCAAATCACACTCCCCAAGACTCTCGCTAGCTTCCAAGCCTACCCTGTTTCCCGCGTTTCATGTTTTTCCGTGCGGCACTCTTGTTCTCGATTGCAACGGACCTCAAGTGCATTGCGTTCTCTAGTGGGTTTTTTCCATGCTATCAAATAAAGCGCATTTGTTGCGTTTTGATTCGTCCCTGCTCAAATGCACAGCGCTGTGACACTAGAGGCTAGGAAGCGGCAATGCCATGGGCACCCCAACCCTTGCAAAATCTGCTACCCCCAAGAAAGCCACCCTACAGACGAGGAATCTGCGGAGCTGCCTCGCACCCACTGCATCACTTTCTCCCCATCCGTGCCTCTCGCTGCATTCATGCTTCAGCCTCACACCCGATTCGCGCCTCCCGTCAAACCCCGTAATCCAGCAGCGGAAAAAAATATAAGAGCTTAGGGGGTTTCTATTCCCATTCATTAACCAGTTCTGTAAATCATCACTCAGCCTTCCAGCTTCCACGGCCCCCTGATTCTACCAACGCTTTGGTATATGCAGCTGAAATATTCGAGTGCTCTATATTAGTCTCTAAGCTACTTAGCCAGTCTGTCCTCCCTACTCCGACCATCAACGAGATGGCCTGCATCATTGTTAAGCGTGCCTGTGTGGCGATTTACTCCCTCTTCTCAAGCTGTTGCGAGCAGGATGACTCCCTTGGACGCTTCGTTTGCAGCCTGGTCTCTCTTCCGTCCTTGGTAAGAAGGACTTTCCACCTTCCCTTTTCCCCTTTCTTTACTTATCTTACAAGTTACCTTCTTACTTTACTTCTTATCTTTTCCCTTACTTTACTAAAGTAGATGCTAACGAGGATTTGCCTTGAAACTTGGCAAGTCGACTTCCAGTGGACCAGGTCAAGCGATCAAGTAGCAGCCAAGGCTGCTCCGATCGTGGTCGAGGCTTGTGCAGCCAACCTAGACGCCGCTGCTCTCATTATTGGGCATCTGCCATCAGTGTCCTGGTGCTGCTAACATCAATGTCAAGGCTCCTAGTGCTGCTGACATCAATGTCAAGGCTCCTGGTGCTGCTGGCATCGATGTCAAGGCTCCCGGTGCTGCTGATATCAATGTCAAGGCTCCTGGTGCTGACATCAATGTCGAGGTTTCTCCCATCAGTGTTAAGACTGTTTCTGTTTGACCTGCAAACTACTTCTGTTAAACTCGAGACCCCAGCTTACTTTGTCAAGACTTTTGACCGAGGAGGAAGCGTTCGGGTTGGGTGTGGAATCAGAGGAAGGAGCTCCTTCATTCCCGGTCGTGGAGGCGCAGCAGGGTGTGAAGGTGGGAGTCAAGGAGAGCAGCGGCTGCTGTAATCTGACTCGCAGTGAGAGCAATTGCAGCAGCCATAGTGCGCGCCTTATTGTCCTCTCCCGGGATACCGACACCACCTCCTCCACTTCCTCCTCGCTTCTTAGTGACTTTTCCTCCTCTGCAGTCAGCAATGTCACAAAATTCATGGGTGCCGAGATGGGGATTGGCCGGGGCTTTTGCAGCAGTGGGAGGGGATGGACAGTGGAGGCGAAGGGTGTTGGGGAGCTGGTGGAAAAAGATGTGCTTTCAAACCAGCTGTTTGCGGATGGCATGGAGGGGGAAAAGAGTTACAATGACTTCATATCTGCTGGGAAGGGGAGCGCACAGGGATCGAGCGAGGCTTGTGCAGCTGTGGGAAGTGGTGGAGCATGGTGGCGAAGGATGCTGAGGAGCCGGTTGGAAAAGGCGTGTTTTTAAGCCAGCTATTTGAGGATGATGACGAGGAGGATGAGGAGAGTGATGAGAGTTACAGCCAGGGCTTTGGACAGGGTGGGATAAGGAGTGTGCGTTACATGAACCAGTTGTACATGGATGAGGAGGAGGAAGAGGACAGGAGCTGCATGGTAGCAACGGGGGTTTCAGTTGGCATCGCCAGGTTTGGTGCATGGCGGAGAATAACCAGCTCTTGCACCAGAGTCACCCTCCAGAGAATGAGTGCATCTCTACGACAGTTCTATAATAGGTTACAACAAATGCCTTGTGTAAGGGCGATAACATCTGTGGTCAGATGGAACGAGATGCACTGGACTGCCACCGGTGTTGTGTACAACAACAATATTATAGTTTCAATCTACTCTGGTTCTATTTGAACTCACTGGACTCGACAACAGGAAATAATGTTGCAATGAAAGTTATAAATGACGTAGCAGCAATTTGCAAACCATTTTCTTTCATAAAGGACCCGCCGGCAAAAGGGTCCCCGGGGACTCTCTATAAAGTATTGGGACTCGCCCACCCGCCAAGTGATAGGGGGGGAGCTAGTTGCTGTGTTTGTGGGGGGCAATCTAGCAGTGCTCCAGTTGACTGTCAGGGGGCTGATCTGCCTTGATTCGCCAATGCTGGAGGTTAGGGATGAGATGTTAATAGCTGTGTGTGTGCTACCTGCCCATTTTGGAGGTGCTAGGGGGGCTGATAGCCGCAGTGTGTGTGTGTGTGTGTGCGGGACGATTTGTCCATGCCCAAAGTCCCACCTGCAAGCACTCCACCAAAAACAAGCAATAGAAAAACCTTGTTTCATAATTCCCTTGTTTCGCCATTCCCTTGTCTCGCCATTCCCCTGTCTCGTCATTCCCTTGTCTCGCCATTCCCTTGTCTCGCCATTCACTTGTCTCGCCATTCCCTTGTCTCGTCATTCCCTTGTCTCGCCATTCCCTTCTCTCCCCACTCCCTTGTCTCGCCATTCGATTGTCTCGCCATTCCCTTGTCTCGCCATTCCCTTGTCTCGCCATTCCCTTGTCTCGCAATTCCCTTGTCTCGCCATTTTCTTGTCTCGCCATTCCCTTGTCTCGCCATTCCATTGTCTCGCCATTTCCTGTCAAGGAATCTCACACCTGTCTTCGCCCTCCTCCATCCTCACCTCACTCTGTGCCAACGCCTTTCCTTGCTGTCATGTCCCACCCAGCAGCTTTCTCTTTATATTCTCTTCCCCTCTTCCATTTCTTCCATTCCTTGCGTCTCCTGTCCTCTCCCTTCCCCTCTTCTCCCTTCCGCTCTTCTCACTTCCCCTCTCCTCTCTTTCCTTCACCCCCATCGCCCATGCTCCCCACATGCTCTCTCATTTCATGCTCTCCCCCCTTCCTTCTCCTCCCATCTTCCCTCCTCTCCCACACCACCCCAGGTGATGAAGCGGGCGTCAGAGCGTGTGTTTGTGCCGCTCACAGTGGGGGGCGGCATCAGAGACATCACCTCCTCCCCATCCTTCATCTCCCAATCCTTCATCTCCCCCACGTCCCCCTGCAACCGTCCACAAGTGATGAAGCGCGCATCGGAGAGGGTGTTTGTGCCGCTCACAGTGGGAGGCGGCATTCGAGACTTCACGGACGCCAATGGCAGGTGGGCCGTGGGACAGGTGGGTTGTGGGTCAGGTGGGCCGTGGGACAGGTGGGCCGTGGGACAGGTTGGGCACTCATGCTCGTGGTGCCGCTGCTGATGGCAGTTGAGATGGCAATTGGGTCGTGGGGCCATGGCTCCTAGACTTAGGCCGCCGCCTAGTCTCCGCCGTTCTTAGACCTAGGCCGCCGCTTTCCTCCCCGTCCGCCCTAAACGCCCTAGCCAGCACGCACGCCAGCGTGCACGCCAGTGCGCCACGCTAGCGCGCCACGGACGGCCCGCCCGTCGATCCGCCGCGCGGCTCACCCGCTAGCGCACTGCGCCGCCCGCCCGTCAACCCGCCGCGCCGCCCGTAGGCCCGCGCGTCGCGCCGCCCGCCCGTCGACCAGCCGCGCAGCCCGCCCGTCGACCCGCCGCGCCGCCCGTAGGCCCGCGCGTCGCGCCGCCCGCCCGTCGACCCGCTGCGCCGCCCGCCCGTCGACCCGCCGAGCCGCCCGTAGGCCCGCGCGTCGCGCCGCCAGCACGTCGCGCCGCGCACCCGTCGACCTGCCGCGCCGCCCGCCAGACAGCGCCCCACGCCGCCCTCCAGCCAGCACGCTGCGCCGCCCGCCTGTCCACATGCTGCGCCACCTACCCGCCTGCACGCCTCCGCACCTGCCCAAACGCTACTGACTGTCTCCCCCCTCCCGCGGCTGGCAGCCACGATCTCTCAGTTTCGCCCTCTATGGCGACCTCCCGAGTACTACGCTTTGACCCTGAAGGGAGACCTATTGATTTTAGTACGTGGCTTACGCAGGCGCAGCGCCACCTTAAGAGCCAGCGGCAGGATGGCGTGCACCTGTTCGCACAAGCGTCCGGCACTCAGACCGCCCCTCCGCAGCCTCAGCCGGTGCCCACTACCCCACCGCCTACTTCTGAGCAGGAGGCCGACTACCAGCGCCAGCTCCTCGCTCGCGACGTGTGGGAGTCTCGTGACGCCGCTGCCTGCCTCGCCCTGAGCAACCTCCTCCCGCCGACAGAGGCAGTCCACTTCACTCAGGTCGAGTCTGCTGCTGATCTGTATAAGGCTATTGTTACTCGCTACTCCACTCCCTCCTCTGCTTCGCTCAGTCGCCTCCTCGTACCCTTTATCTACCCTGACCTCGCCTCCTTTGAGACTGTCTCTGACCTCGCTACCCACCTGCGCTCCCTTGACACTCTCTTTCGCGCTGCTTGCACTAAGGACCAGCTTGCCCTTGCCCCGCCCCCTATGTGGCTCACTATTCACTGGCTAGTCACTCGCCTCCCTGACCGCCTAGCCACAGCCCGCGACGCGCTTCTTCCGAAGCACCCCACTGAGCTTACCGTTGATCTTCTTGAGACTGCTCTCTCGAAGATCGAGAGTAACCTCCTCACTGTTGCCTCTGCCTCTTCCGCGCCTCCTCCTCGTCTTTTTGAGGGGTGTGCGGTACCCCAGCTTCCCACCTTCACTGCCTCACTTGCCACCCCCACGTCTTCTGCCTCTGAGGAGACGGCGGCTGTTTCTGTCTCTGGCGGGCAGAAACGTGGCAAGGCCGGTAAGAGGGGCGGGAAGGGCGGGTAGTGGCGGTGGCGGTGGAGCAGGTGGTGGGAGTGGTGGTGGGGGTGGCTCGGGACCTGACGACCCTCCTTTCGACGGTGGAGTTTTCACTGGTGGTGAGGGGTTCCAGCAGCAGCAGCAGCCGACTCCTCAGCAGCTGCCACCGCCTGGACAGCAGCAACAGCACGGACAGCAGCAGCAGCGACAGGGCCAGCAGCAGCGCCCGCCACAGCAGCGGCCTCAGCAGTGGGGCCCTCCGCAGCAGTGGGGCCCTCAGCAGCAGTGGAGGTCTGCGGGTCCCTCGAGCACTGGCGCCCCCTCCAGTCGGGGACCTTGCTCGGCCGGCCGCGACGTTGGTCCCTGTGAGTACTGGATTCTTACGGGTCCTCGTAGGGACTCGTACTGTGGCCGCCCCGACCACTCTGCTGCACGCTGCTTCAGTCGTCTCGACGACCTCTACCTCTTGCACCACGGCCCCTCCGCTCCTCCGCCGCCATGCTGGGGGACACTTCTTGCTCGTGGTATTGCTGTTTTTGATATGACTATGGATGATGCTAGGTTATATGCCATGTATGCTGATGCTGACTATAGTGCTCCTGGATCTGTGTACTTGCCTGTACCTAGCTTAGGATCTTTGCCTGTTGCTAGAGTAGGTGCTAGTGTGGGATCTTGTTTAGCTACTAGTACAGGTACTCCCTCGGCGGACGCGTCTCTCTCCTTCACACTGGACTCAGGAGCGTCGCACTGCTTCTTCCGCGACTGCACGACTCTCTCCCCGCTACCGGCGCCTATCCCTGTAGCACTGGCCGATCCCTCTTCGGGACTGGTCATTGCGACTCACGTCACTACACTCCCGTGCCCAGCTGCTCCTTTCGGTTCCCTGACTGGCCTCTACGTTCCTACGTTCTTTAGGAACCTGGTTGGTGTGGGCACCCTGTCAAGACAGCACGTCGGAGTCTGGGTTGAGCCTTCTGAAGACACCGCGGTCTGTGTGGACGGTGACACGTACGCCCCCTTGGCCACTTTTCGCCAGGAGCTGGGCTCCGGTCTGTACACCCTCCGCACCGACCCCCGTCAGGTTCCCCCGTCCCACCAGGTAGTCGGGTCCAGTCAGGTTGCTGTGTCAGGTGTGGTTGTTGCGTCGTGCTCGTGTCGGTCGCTTGCCCACCCCTCCCTCCTCTGGCACCACCGCCTTGGTCACCCTTCCCTTCCACGTCTCCGCGCTATGTCCAGTCAGCGTCTTGTCTTAGGGCTCCCCCGAGTCCTCCCGCCACTCCCGCCGTCCCCAGCTCCTCCGTGCGGTCCTTGTGTCCAGGGTCGGCTGCGCGCCACCCCTCACTCCTCCCTTCGTCCGGCCACCGAGCCCTTCGAGACACTCCACTTAGACGTCTGGGGCCCCGCTCCTTGCCTTGGCCCTGAGCGGGAGAGTTTCTTTCTGGTGGTCGTTGACGACTACTTTCGGTACACCACCGTGTTCCCTTTGGCGAAGAAGTCCGACGTGACTTCTACGCTGATTCGGTGGCTCCTTGCCACCGAGGGCACTCGCAGTCGTCGTGTCAGTTGTCTCCATTCCGACAGTGGGGGTGAGTTTCGCTCCGGCATTCTCGCCAGATTTTGTGCTGAGCAGGGCATCACCCAGTCCTGGACTCTTTCAGACTCTCCACAGCAGAATGGGGTTGCTGAGCGCCGCTTAGGCCTGGTCATGGAGATCGCCCGCTCCTCCATGATCCACGCTCGCGCGCCCCATTTTCTGTGGCCCTACGCGGCTCGGTACGCCGCTCACCAGCTGAACCTCTGGCCTCGCGTCTCTCGGCCAGGGGCTTCACCGACCAGTCTTTGGACAGGGTCCCCTGGTGTTGCGTCGAGGTTATAGTCTGGGGCTGCTTGGCTCTTGTCCGCGACACCTCTGCGGACAAGATCTCGCCTCGCGCTGTCCCCTGTGTCTTCCTTGGTTTCCCAGAGGACTCCTCTGACTTCACCGGTTCTTTGACTCTCGTGACGTCCGTTTCGACGAGTCCGTCCCCTACTACGTCCGGTACCCCTGTCGAGGTCTCCCGGTTCCCCCCCTCCCCTCTTCCTGGCTCCAGCTCCTCCTCCTCCCGCCCCTACCCAACCCTATGTGCATTCCTCACTGCCCCCGTTGCTCTCACTGTGTGCATTCCTCACTGCCCGTGTTGCTCTCACTGTGTGCATTCCTCACTGCCCGTGTTGCTCTCACTGTGTGCATTCCTCATTGCACGTGTTCCTCTCACTGTGAGCATTCCTCAATGCCCGTGTTGCTCTCACTTTGTGCATTCCTCACTGCCCGTGTTGCTCTCACTGTGTGCATTCGTCACTGCCCATGTTGCTCTCACTGTGTGCGTTGCGGCATGTTCAGGAGAAGACAGGCAAGACGGGGATAGAGCAGATCTCCTACGTGCATGGCAACCAGGTGAGGGTTGTGAGGCAACCAGGTGAGGTCTGTGACGCAACCAGGTGATGCCACAATGCCTATCAATCCCAGATGCATGCTCAGAAATCATGTGCAGGTCATAGTCAAATTGCAGGTCAAAGTCAATCTGCAGGTCAAAGTCAATCTGCATGGCCCGTTTCCATCTCTTGTCCTTTAGCGTGGTTGATTTCTCCCCCTTTTTCTTCCCCGCTGCACTCATGCTATCTTCTCCCTAGCCCCACTCCCTCTCCCCTCACATGGGTGCCATGTCTTCTCTTGGCCTCTCTGCCTCTCTGTCTTCTGCCCCCATAGGCGGTGGTGGTGAGCATAGATCCCAAGAGGGTGTATGTGACCTCACCACACGTCGTGTCTTTCTGAGTTGCTTACTCTCCCCCTTTCTTCCCATCTGCCTCTCTGCCTCTCTGCCTCTCTGCCATCCCAACAGGCGGTGGTGGTGAGCATAGACCCTGAGAGGGTGCACGTGTCCTCGCCAGATGACGTGCCTTTCAAATGTGTCAAGGCATCAACGCCAGGTGCAACGCATGCCCGCTCTGCTCCCTCTGCTCCCTTTTTTGCCACAAGTCCTTGGTTAAAACGGGCTCGCTGGTCTACCATGTGTTCTATCATCTAAGCCCTACGACTCACTTCTTCTCACAGAACATCTCATCTCTCTTATGCTAACCTTGCCACTCAACCTTCCTCCTCCTGTGGCTTATGTGTGTGTGTGTGTGTGTGTGTGCCCGCGCGTGTGCGTGCGCACACTGCACACGGGTGCACACGTGCGTGTGCGCCTGTAAGCTTGCACTGGTGCTACGCATTATGTGTGTGGGTGGGTGCATGTATGGCAAGGGCGCTCATGTGATAGCCATGTGACTGTGGGACTGGGTGATTCTCATCTCACCATGCTGTCTTCTCTTCCCTCTGGCCATTGTAACCTCTGCTGCTGCAAGTGAGCGGAGGCAGGGAGGGGCGGCCCATAAGGGCGTTTGAGCTGGCGCAGGCTGTGGAGCAGCTGGGGGCGAGGGAGATTCTGCTCAACTGCATCGACTTCGGTGGTGAGTGCCATGGGATGGGATGATGAGGCATGACAGACACACCCATAGTGGGGAGGGCTAGGTAGGGTGTTCATGTGGCTGCCTGGCGCAAGCAGTGGAGTAGCTGGGATGATGATGGTAAGGAATAGGGTGTTCATGTGAGTGACCCAGGCAGTGCCTTTGATCTCCACCTGGTGGGACTGGTGTCCTCAGCAGTGAGCATGCATGTGATCACCAACAGCTGGACTTGAACTCATTCCCTCCATGTAATTCCTTCTCAGCCCCTCCCCCTTCTCTTCCCCCTCCCCCCTCGCAGGTCAGGCCCAGGGATTTGACTTGGACCTGGTGGGGCTGCTGTCCTCAGCAGTGAGCATCCCTGTGATCGCCAGCAGAGCAGCAGCGCAGGCATCCCAGAGCACTTCTCCCAGGTCGTTGCTCACACAGGCGCCTCTGCTGCCCCCTTCCCATGGCAGGTCAGGGCCGGGGCTTTGACTTGGACCTGGTGGGGCTGGTGTCTTCGGCAGTGAGCATCCCCGTCATTGCCAACAGCAGCGCAGGCATCCCAGAGCACTTCTCCCTGGCCTTTGCTCACACAGGCGACTTGGCTGCCCCCTTGCCTTCCTTCTCCCTGTCACAGGCCAGGGCCAAGGATTCGACTTGGATCTGGTGGATTTGTTTTTGAAACGTCTCAAGAGACGTCTCAAAACACTTCTTCATGCACGTGGCTTTCCTTCTCCCTGTCACAGGCCAGGGCCAGGGATTCGACTTGGATCTGGTGGAGTTGGTCTCCTCTGCAGTGAGCATCCTCGTCATCGCCAGCAATGGGGCGGGCATCCCAGAGCACTTTTCTCAGGTCTTTGCTCACACTGGCGCCTCCGCTGCCCCCTGCAATTTCTTCCCCCTGTCACAGGCCAGGGCCAGGGATTCGACTTGGATCTGGTGGAGTTTGGTCTCCTCTGCAGTGAGCATCCCTGTAATCACCTGCATCCAAGAGCACTTCTCGCAGGTCTTTGCACGCACTGGTGCCTCCGTTGCGCTGGCTGCCGGCATTTTCCACCACAACGAGGTGAGGGGATTCAAGGGAGCTTAGCTGATGCCATGCCAGCACGGTCAACTGGAGGAAGGCGGTTTATTTGACGGTTTCAACTGAAAGGGCACTGTGTAGATGTGTCAGCGCTAGCACTGTCAACGCGCCTCCGCTGCCGTGGCTGCCGGCATCGTTCACGGCAACGAGGTGAGGGTCTCGTTTGGTGCATGTGGAGTGCTGCATTTTCCCGAGGGAAGGGCTGGCCATCCTGGGAGTGTGCTGCGTGTTTGATTCTCTGTCCATGCACCCAACCCGCTTCCAATATGTGTGTGTGTACGCGTCCTTGCGTTTGTGTGCATGCTTGCATGTGTCCGTCTGTGGGGTTGTCCATTTGTGTGCACGTGTGTCTGTGTGCCCATTTGTCTGTGTCTCTGCATATGCACGTGTGCCCATTTGTCTGTGTCTCTGCATGTGAACGTGTGTCTCCCACAGGTGACAATAGAGTCGGTGAAGACCCATCTGGCAAAGGAGGGTGTGGAGACTCGCTTGCTGTGAGCCGCACAGAATCAAGCGGCGCAGCACAGATAGCAGCAGTGTGAGGCAGATAACAGTGCCACAGTGCAGGGGGCAGTGGCGCAAGGAGGATAACATGTTGGTACAGTGTGAATGGCATGCAGCTAGAGGGGAGGCTGCTTGGTCGTGAGCTTGGGAGATGTTTGAGAAGCGGAGCAGAGAAGCTGATGGAATGCGCCTGGAATGCCCAAATGGCACTTGCTATTCTTTGTCTGTTGATAAGCTCCTACGTGCTGTTCACAACCAAACCACCGGTATGCATGTACCGTAACTAGCCTTGTAAGGAACAGCGACTCCCTCATGTTCGTTCTGCTGTAGCAACGAGTAGAGCATTGCACTTCTGACTGCCTTCCCGGTCACTGCTAGGAGACTACCACACCAAATCAACACCTAGGTGGTACCAAATCAACACCTAGGTGGTACCAAATTAACACCTAAGTGGTACCAAGTGCACTAGAAGCATTAGCAGAAGCATGGATTGCAGTGTAAACGACAAACAGAAAAGCCAAGATATCCCTCTGTACTTTTCATTATTTTTTCAAATACATCAATTCATCTGAAATTGGAAGTAGAAATTATGGTACAACCAGTGTCCTAGATATCCGACTTTTTAGTCTGATTCAGAGTCCATTCAAACCTTTTTTTTGTACATGGTCTGAATTGTAAGATTTTTATTTTTGTACCTTCTATGATTTTTCAGAGTTTTTTTTTCATCTATTGGCTGAAAGTTCAGACAAATTTATTAGTGTAGGCTGAGCCTCAGCCTTATTTTGAGGGTGCACTCCGAAACGGGTACTGCAGGGGTTTCCGCCAACGTGGCGGCGTGTTGCACTAATCAACGTCAATCACGGGTGGGAAATGAAAAAATTTCCCGAACGCGGCACTTCACAGTCGCGTTGGTACAGGGATGCTGTAACCTTGTTCTATTCCAGCCAATCGCGGCTGCGCAGCAGGCAGTGTTGGCAAGATTCCTTGCCAACGCACTCGCAGCGCGCTGCACCCGGACGACACCACAACCATCCACCCCCTTCCACCGTCCTCATTGCCAACGCATAGCTCGCAGCGCGCTGTACCCGGACGACACCACATCCATCCACCCCCCTCCACCAACCTCCTTGCTAACGCATAGCTCGCAGCGCGCTGCTACTTTCACGTCACCACATCCATCCACCCCACTCACCCCACCTTCCCTGCACACACGACCAGGTGCCGTGCATGCAGTGACCACCAGGGAGATGAGCGGTCCAAATACGAGGACCTATCATCTTCCTCATCGTCGCCTTTCGTAGGGGTCACTCAGTGCCCTGTCTCTCTTGCTTCATTTAATTTCCTCGCCGGAAACTAGTGCCGGAACCCTTGTTTCAGGCTCTCTCTCCTTGACCTAGCAAAACCAGTGCTCGGCAGACTCAATGGCAGTCACAGACGCTGCCGCTGAAGGGCCCGACGATGATGACGACGCCGATCGTCGCCCTTTTTTCCGACTCTTTGATTCGCTTGGATTTTCTTAGGTCGTGCTTATCGAATCATGTTCCACCGGCTTCTCCACCTTCGCAACCTAGCTCTAGTCGTCCTCCGGTTTCCATACACTCTGAACCTTTGCACACGGCCGTCACTGAACCAATGATCGCTGCGCCACAGTCGGTGCCCCATGAAGCGTCCGCTGAAGCACCGTCCCGTCCCGCGCCACCGACGAAGCTGCGGTACCGACAAACCACGTTTCCGTGGGCAACTCCACCTCCTCCATCGACGTAGAAGTTCCAGCGAGCGACGAATCTCCCATGCAGGACAGCTTAAAGCCCACCGACAAATCTCCCTCTGACAAGTTGGAGTTGAAATACGAAGAAGCTCACTTTCGTTATAAGACAAAGTGGTATACCGATTACTCGTGGTTGACACTTACTAACACCCCTTCTGGTCCCCCTGGTTTTAAGTCAGGGCCCAAAATAGGTTTAGGCTCACTCTTTCAAATCAGGGTGGCAGGCCCTCCGTACCCTGACTGTTAGGGTAATTTTCGTGGTACACTGTTTACAGCAGTGTAAAATTTTGGGTACACTGATTTCAGCAGGGTATGTTTTCCGGTACACTGATGCATTAGCAAATATTTAGAAAGGTGAGAACAGTCGAACGACGAACGTGAGAAAGGTGAGAGAATGGCGAGAGGCTGAGAGACCCCTTGGGAATCGCAAAGCCCAAGCAGCACGGTTTCCGCGCACCGCGGGAAGTACATGGCAGAGGCTGCAACACCACTGCCATGTGGTGCAAACGACAGCACGAAACCCACCTGTCGCGCATTTTGGCACCGTTGGCAGTGAGCGATGCTTCGGGAACGCCCTACGTTGCTTGGATGTTGCTCAACGGACCAATCGTAGACGTGCGCGTGCAGCCGCGCTGCTTCTACGTTGGCGCGCTAGTGGGCATACCGTACAAATGCTCCAGTGGGTCTGTGGTGAATTTTGTCTTGGTGCGTACTGTGGCGGAATACTCAGTTAGAAAAAGATCCGGTAAAAGTGTAGTTGAGCCCGTACCCTGATACAGCCAGTGTAACTAAACTTGTTACAAGAGTGCTTTTCTCAGAATCCTGATTTCACTAGGGTAAAAAATTGCATAGCCTGATTTCACAAGGGTAACTGCCAAAAAGCGGCCTACCATCAGGGCAAAAAGGGTATTTTACCCTTGAAATTTGGAGCCTGTTTTAAGTGCAGTATATGCTTGGAGTTAGCGGGACTTACAGGCAAGTGTGGACGGCGTGGTGAGGGCGCGACCGACATGCAGACGCAGTCCTTTAAGAAGCATGAAGGGACGGTGAAGCATCGTTTTGCACTGCAGCGGCAGAAGTACGGGCGATAGCAGGTTTCGGCACTCGTGGACTCGCTGTACTTCATGAGCAAGTGCAACGAGCCCATGGATGCTTGGATTCAGCTAGTGCGCTACCTGGCGAAGAAGAAGGTGCCCGGGTTTCCAAAGCAGGGGTATGGCACGTACTACAATACGTAAGTATTGGCGGTTGTAACCATTGAATCCTTGGTTTTCTCTCTTTTCCAGTCGCTAACTGCCTCTGCTTGATTTTTTTGTACTGGTACGGCTTCGGGGAACTAACACAGTCAATTGCAACATGGCTCCAAACGAGCCCCTTCATCGGGATCGCAACTGGAACACCTTCTAATGAGCCCCTTCATCGGGATCACTTTGGACGAGAGCACCGACCGGCGGCGCGGCAAACACATGATTGTGCTTGCTACCTTCCTGCGCGACGGTCAAATCGTGACTGAGTTGTTTGCTCACCTCACGGTTGAGAAAGCTGACGCTGCATCCCTGTGTAGTTTGCTTCTTTCCCACATCAGGGCTGTCAATGTGGACCTCCGTCGTATTCCGGGAGTGAGCACGGACGGCGCCATGGTGATGGTGGGGGCCCACAATGGTGTGGTTGCTCGACTTCGGATGCTCATCCCCAACCTGGTTTCGCTCCACCGCATTGCTCACCCGTGCGTTTATGTTTAAGGCTTAAGTGAAGACTTTGTTGATTATTTTTATTATATGCTAATCCTGTTTGTTTATACGTCGTGCAGAGAGGCTTTGGCTGCCAAAGCTGCTGCAAAGGCAATACCCACGTTCAACATACTTGAAGACGTCATCCGCGCCGTCCCTGAGTACCTGGGGCGATCATCACCATGGCATCAACGGTTCATGGAGCTGCAGGAGGTCTTTACGTCCACCAATCTCGAGGTCCACGAGGTGCGGTGGCTTTCAAAAGGTGCTGCGGTCGCCCACTTTGTCGAGGTCCTCCCTGCCATCGTGGTGATGCTGTCAGAGTGGAAGGACCAAACGATGTACGAGCTCGTCACGTCCTACCGGTTTCAGTTCCTGCTACGGTTCCTTGCGGACGTTCTGGAGCTCCTCAACATCCTCTCCAAGGTTTTCCAGCAGCAAGAGGTAAGCAACTTGAGTACATGCAGTGTGTTATCTACACATGTACCCGTGTACTAATTTACACTTGACTACCCCTTGGTTCACACGCAGATTGTGCGCACAACGTCTCTCTTGGAGAGTCAGTACATCTACTGTGGAGACGACTTCGGCGGCGGCCCTAACGAGCGGCTTTATCGCTTCATTGAGAAGCATGGGCCGAAGGGGACACCAGAGATGGTGGTGGAAGGCGCGTCATCGGATGGGAGCCTCAACCTCTTCAAGGTCACCCTTCCCAAGCGCAGAGTCTCGAACTATCTTGGGCCAGGTCATCACGACGCGTGTGTGGCGCTCTGCACCGACTTTGCCGAGGGCCTCGTCCAAGAGCTCCAGTCAAAGCTCGGCGACCTCGACTCTCTTTCCGGCGTGCGAATTTTCATTCCTGACTTGTGGCAACCGAATTGGGAGAGGAGCGCACGCCAGGCACAGTGCCTTGAGTGGCTGTTGTCGATAGTCACTCTGTTCCGCGCCGACGACTCCGACGAGATTCTACCAGGTCAGTAAATAATTGGATGCTCGTTCGACCGTTGGCATCCCGTCCCCTACTAATCCCATGCCTTGTCTTATCTTGCAGACATTGACAAGAAGCGTGCCGTGAAGGAGATGCGGACTCTGTTGTGCCCAGTACTGGCCAGAGCTTCTAAGAGCGAGCGTAAGTTCAACACGGGACTGACTGCATTTCTCAAGACATCTGACTGGCAGCAAGCATACCCCAACCTCGTCAGACTCTGGGTGGCGATTGCAATGCTGCCTCTCAGCACAGCACCGTCGAGTTCGAGAGAGGATTCTCTCGACAGAATCTCATCAAGACGTGGCAGAGGGGCAGTATCAAGGATTGCAGGCTCAGTGATCTGTATATGTCTATGCTAGACTATAAGCTAGACGTGCCTGGGGTAGTAGAGATTTGGCGCAGCTATAAGAAGCGCCTGCCAGTCACAGCACCTGCTGCAAGACACAGGGAGCCCCCAAGGGCTGGGAAGGAGGCTGTAGAGGAGCCAGTAGTTCAGCGGGCAGCTGTAGAGTCCCATGTGTCAGAATCTGAGTCAGATAGTTGATATGTTTCTTTGGTGAAGTATAAAAGTCAGCAGCCTTCAATTTGAGTGTAACTCTGAACTTTCAGCCTAAAAAACTAGTGTTGTCTGAATTTCCAGACTCAAAATTGGATGCAACTCTGACTGACAGAGTTTAGAGAAGGGTGCACCCTGACCCATCAGAGTGTCCCAAAACAAATCTAATGCCCTGGGTACAACATACCAGCAAGCAAGCACATACACACTTATATTCCCCATTCCACTACCACACACACACACACACGCTAAATGACAGCCAACCATCAACCAGATTGATTCGTCTCCTCCGAGCAACCGCATGCAGTTTCTCGCACCTCTGCTCCATCAGCCCCTATCCAAATGGTCCATCAGCTTCATCAACCACATTATACAGAATCCCTCCGGTGCTGCCAGCTTGCGCCTCCTTGCCCTCTGACCATCCAACTAGGGTCGCCCATCTTCGCTTGTCCACCGGCCCCTACAGGTGGAAATGATCAGTTCATGGTTGCAACACGAGGGGGGAATTGGAGGGCAGGCAACAGCGTAAGATGTGAGATGATACAAAACTATGGTAGAGCCTGCCAGTGCAGAGCCTGCTCCTCGTTGTGCAGCCGGTGTCACACTGGCAAATTACCATACATGACAAGTTCCCATACATATAAACGAGAAGCTTGATTATTGTTGGCACTTACGAGGAGGAGCAACCCGGCAGAGATTCTTAGCTGCGCTAAACACGAGGCCCTCGGGGCACTGGCACTGCTGCTTGCCCTTCTCCACAATCATTGTCACACATGGCTGTTGTGGGCATCGATTGAAGGACACAGAGAAAGAGAACGGCTTCTCACGCATACAGAGGTGATAAAAGGAAAAAACAAAACAACGAGGTTGGGTGTGTGTCTCGCTCTCTCTTACGGTACCTCTCCCGTGTCATCAATTCTGTCAGAATGAGCAAAGCACATGCTAGCATGTTTGGAGATATTCTCTAGTGCACGTGACACCCTTCAGACGAAGTACAATAATCCGAGCGTAACGTGCATGCGAAGAACACACTCAGCCCTGGCCCTTCTTCACAACAAACTCAGCAGCTCCACAATCCTTGTGGCACGTGGCTGTTTTTGGCACCAGTCAAGGCATGCAGAGAAAGAGGATGGCTTTCAGGCATACGGAGGCGATAAAAGGAAAAACACAAAACGAGGCTGGGTGTGTGTCTCGCTCTCTCTTGCAATATTTTTTTCTTGTCATCGATTCTGTCAAAAGAGCACAGCACATGCTAGCGTGTTTAGAAATCTTCCCTAATGTGCACGTGACACACTTTAGACGAAGTAAAATCAACCTGAGTGCGACGCGCATGTCCTCGCACTTACTGATCTCGCAGCCAACTGATAGCAGCGAAGCGATTCCATTGACAGTCCTGAGAGAGGGATAGGCAAGGATAGAGAAGACGAATGGTGAGGGCGAGTTACGATATTCGCCCCATTCACGCTACAACTGCGACGGGCAAGCAATTTTTGGTACTAGGTCCTGCAAGCACAGTGGAATAAATCACACAAGCCATGTGCATCGTGACTTTTGAGTCGACTCAAAAGTCTTTTTGGTACTAGGTGCTGCAAGCACAGGGGAATGAATCATACAAGTCATGTGCATCATGCCCACACACCTTATCGTGACGGGGTAGGAACTGCCCTTCTTCACGGGACGAGCAATGGTGAAATCCAGCTTCTCCTTGCAGTCCCAGTCAGCGTAGAACGACAGGCTCTTGCACATGGCGTTGCCAAGCGCGAGGCTGCCAGGAGCGGAGCGCTTGGTGTTCCACACGACGGTGATGCTGGTGGTGCCGTTGAGCACCGTGTGCAGGTTGCCGCACGCACTGCTGCCACTGGCCTGCTCTGCCGGCACCTCCGTCAGGAAGGTTGCGTCCCTTTCGCCCGCGAAGGTGTTGCCACTTGCCTGCACTGCCACAGTCGTCCGCACCAACGGGGCTGACCAGCCGTTAAGACCGTTGGTGTGATGGTTGATGCGACGATGCCAGGTCATGGCCGTTCCAGGTTGCGTGACGATGATGGAGATTTGAGGAGGGGAAGTTGCAGGATGCGTCAAGTTGGAGGCAGGGCATGGGAGAGGAGAGGAAGGAGTCGGGGGAGGGGGGGAGAGAAGGGGGGGGGGGGGGGAGGGGTGGTGGTGAGGAAGGTGCAGGATGAGTGAGGAGGGGTGAACGTTTCAAGCGTTGCCTCTCAGCGGCGCCTCCCAGTGAAGCCTCTCAGCGGCGCCTCCCAGTGAAGCCTCTCAGCGGCGCCTCCCAGTGAAGCCTCTCAGCGGCGCCTCCCAGTGAAGCCTCTCAGCGGCGCCTCCCAGTGAAGCCTCTCAGCGGCGCCTCCCAGTGAAGCCTCTCAGCGGCGCCTCCCAGTGAAGCCTCTCAGCGGCGCCTCCCAGTGAAGCCTCTCAGCGGCGCCTCCCAGTGAAGCCTCTCAGCGGCGCCTCCCAGTGAAGCCTCTCAGCGGCGCCTCCCAGTGAAGCCTCTCAGCGGCACCTCCCAGTGAAGCCTCTCAGCGGCGCCTCCCAGTGAAGCCTCTCAGCGGCGCCTCCCAGTGAAGCCTCTCAGCGGCGCCTCCCAGTGAAGCCTCTCAGCGGCGCCTCCCAGTGCAGCCTCTCAGCGGCGCCTCCCAGTGAAGCCTCTCAGCGGCGCCTCCCAGTGCAGCTTGTTCAAACGCTCAAACGCTGAGTAACGTGAAGCTAAGTTGGATCTTACGTTTTCGGTTCCTTACGTTTTCGGACGATTACGACAATTTTTACGTTTACGAACGGTCGCCCTGATTCGGCCTTACGTTTACGGTCACCTGAAAACTTTTCTTAGCTGCCCGAGGAAAAAAAACGACCAGAGCATCAGGAAGATTCCCTCCAACCTAGTTCTGTAACTCGCTATCTTGTTCGACGTCAACCTAGCAGCTCGTTCGCAACCTATCGTGTTTCTCTCTTACTAACCCGGTCAATGCTGAATCTGAAACTTTCACAGACTTGAAAGGCGCTCCATACGTAGTAAAGTCGCTATTCTATGCAGGTACATGACAAATTAGTGGTAGGATCTGGTACCCGTACACAATCCAGAAAAAAAATTATATCACATTAGTTTTTTTTTCCTGCCCGCCTCATACTCACGCGTAATTTTACGTTTCCGTTTACGTTTACGCTAAACTACGCGAAATTTACGTTTACGAGACCTCAAAAAACGTAAGAGACCAACTTAGACGTGAAGCACTCACCAAAGCACGTCTTGTCAGGCTCGTTGAAGTAAAATTCTTGCTTGTTGCAATCGCACTCGGATTTGGTATGAGTGAGAGTAACGCAGTGAGCCTGTAACCCACAGTCCACGCCAACACACGGGTCTGCAGAGGAAGTGATGGGGGGTTACGAGATGAAGCAGGGAAAGCGGGTTAAATGAGAATGTTGCTTTTGATCGTAAGCTGTGCACTCACCCACACACCAGCACTCACCCACACACCAGCACTCACCCACACACCAGCACTCACCCACACACCAGCACTTCCCCACACACCAGCACTTCCCCACACACCAGCACTCACCCACACACCAGCACTCACCCACACACCAGCACTCACCCACACTCCAGCACTCACCCACACTCCAGCACTCCCCTACACTCCAGCACTCACCCACACTCCAGCACTCACCCACACTCACAGCACTCACCCACACTCCAGCACTCACCCACGACACACGTCTTGTGGTCTTTGTCGAATACAAAACCGTCCTTGCACACGCACAGGGGTATGCCAATGTCTACATCAACAGCGCAGGTGGCTTCGCCACAATCCACGAAAGCACACAGGTCTGCACAGAAATTGATATTGTTTCAAGTAAGGGCAAAGAGGCGCAACACCAGCACAGAAGCAACGTTAAAACAAGACATTTTCTGCTTTTGACTGTGCGTCGCTCAAGCGCACTCCAGCACTCATCCGCACGCCAGCACTACAAGTGTACGGCCACTGGCGTGCGGCAGTCAGCCTGCTCACCAACAGCGGCGCTGTCGTGGGTCGCGAGGAAGCTGATGGCGACGAGTGCGGCGAAGCCACACAGGCCGGACAGGCGCGCGCAGGGCTTCATGGCGACGGGAGTCGGCGTAGCGATCACGGCGCGCGGGGAAACGGGAAGGCGGGGAGGCGCGGATCGTGATGACAGCGGACGGAGCGGGGAAACGGCAAGACGTCCTCGGGATAGCGAGAAGGTTCTGGTCGCTGGAAGGTTCTGGTCGCTGGAAGCTTCCTCACCCTTTTCAAGGTTGAACCGCCGGGATTGGGTGCGACGAGGCCGCTGTGTGTCGCGACGAGGTGAGATTGGGTGCGACTGAGAAGGAGACGAAGGCACGCAATGAGCGAGAGCGGTGGGAAAGTGTGATTCAGCTCTCGGGGGTGGGCGTCATGTATGTGTCGCGAGCTGGTCAATCGCAAATCATCAGAAAAATGTGAAACTGGCGGATCCCGCATGGTGGGGGTTCGGCTTGGATTTCTAGGTCGAAGTTCATGTCGTGCACGACACCTAATCGGCTGGTTGGGGCAGCGTGGCGGCGAATAATGGTCGACAGTCAGAGAAGTGTGGTTTACGGGATTGACCTGCAGTTGACGGGGCTATGGTTGACGAAGCCACCTTTTGGGACTCTCAACACAATTGGTACTCAACTTCGGAAGTCGAGCAGATTTGCAGACGTGGCAGTTAGTGGGTGGTTCTTGCCATTCACAATCAGAAATCGATCACAAACAGCGCGGGTGTGTTTTTCCGAAACTGTGCATCGCGATAGAATTGGAATTGTGTGACTATTACAGTAAAATAGTGATTCTATTTAACAGATGATTTATGTTCATTCCATTTTCCAGTTAACGTAATTTTAAATGTTTAGTGTAATGCTGTTTCAGTGATCGTTCTTTCATACATTTGTAATAGGAATTTTCGTTTGTTACTATTCTGTCTTGGGTAGTATATTGTAATTATTCTTTATGGGTTGTATTATTTAACTCATATATATAGTTGGAACTGTTGAGAAGATTTGAACAAGGATGAATGGACTATGAATGAAGTGAGTACATATGGGAAACCCTAATTGGGTTGTACCCCCTATGGGATACCCCACTATAGCCTACACAACAGCATAAGCTATATATATGTTCTGACACACCCCCATAGGCAAAGTGGGGGAGAACAAGGGGTCACAAGACCAGTCACGCAAAGCACAGCAAGCTCAGGGTGGATCACAAAGTCACCACACAGTCCGAGCACAACGACAAGGCCACAAGGCCAGTTCACATGCAGGAGTGCACATATATATATAGAGCTAGACAAGCAAGAGCAGGTATATATATGTGACAGTACAAGCAAGGTCAAGAGGAGAGCAAGTGAGGCAAGACAGGTACAAGACCCAGCTGAGTGCAGAAGCGCTGATGGTCACAAGGCGCAAGTGCCTTGGTGAACACATCAGCAGTGTTGGCCTCAGAGGCCACGTACGCAAGTCGCAACTGACCACGCTGCTGCAGCTCACGAGCAAGAAAGTAACGGAGAGCAATGTGCTTCGTTCTGTGCTCCAAGCGCTGCTCTCGACACAAGGCCAGCATGGCCTTGTTATCTACGTACAGCACTGGAGGAGAACGAGGCGGCTCTCCAAGGTCAGTCAGCAGGTAGGTGAGCCAGCGAAGCTCCTGTGCAGCCATGGCCCCGGCGTAGATCTCAGCCTCACAACTGGAGCCGAGAACAGAGGACGAGCGAGTAGCCCGCCACGAGACAGAGCCGGAACCAAGACTGAAGGTGTAACCCTGCGACGACCGCTGCGTAGCCTGGTCGTCAGCCCAAGAAGCGTCCGCGTGCCCAGTGAGGACCACTGGACTCCGCCCTCCAAGCACTAGCCCCATGCCCGACGTACTGCACAAGTAGCGCAACACCCTCTTCGCTGCAGCCATGTGCTCTGGTCGGTGTCTCCCAGGAGCAACATAGCGTGCAAGAATGCTAAGAGGGTATGCAAGGTCAGGTCGTGTGCAGGTCATCAGGTACATGAGGCAGCCAACAAGCTCTGGGTACGGGCCACTCGACTCTACGGACTCATCCGAAGGCAGAGCTGAGAGCGAGTGGCGAGTAGACAGAGGAGTGGCCTGAGGCGAGGAGTACGTGAAGCCGAAGCGCTGAAGGACCTGCTGCACCATGTGTGACTGAGTCAAGGTAATGGTGCGGCGTGCTCTGTCCCGAGTGATCTGCAAGCCAAGGTAGCTGCGCAGTTCACCCAGGTCTGTGCACGTGTGTCTCTTCTGCAGCTCGGACTTCACGTAGGCTAGTCCAGCAGTGTCAGCTGTGGCAAAGACCAAGTCGTCGACGTACACGAGGATGTAGAACGGCGGCAAAGAAGTGTCGGTGCGCAGAAACAACGACGGGTCAGCCGTAGAGGGAGCAAACCCAAGAGCCGCAAGCGTAGTCCTCAGTGTGTCGTGCCACTCACGCGGTGCCTGGCGGAGACCGTAGACTGGCCGTCGGAGGCTCCACTGGGTGCCAGTAGGGAAAGTCCCAGTGAAGCCAGGTGGACGGCGCAGCCAGATCTCCTCGTGCAGGCTACCCTGCAAGAAAGCAGTGCTGAAGTCAAGAGAGTGGAGCTCGTAGTCGCGCTGAGCGGCTATGTGCAGCAGTACCCGAAGAGTGGTCATCTTCGGGGTGGGAGAGAAGGTCTGAAAGTAGTCAACTCCCTGCCGCTGACTGAAGCCACGAGCGACATACCGCGCCTTGAAGACAGGTGGAGAGCCCGGCGGCCGCTTCACCCTGAAGATCCACATGCCACTGACGATGTTCGCCCCAGGAGGGGGAACCGCGTCAACGTAGGTGCCTGTGGACTTCCAGGACGCCATCTCTGCATCCATAGCTGCCTGCCACTGAGAGGAGTAGGGACCCTCTACGGCCTCCGCGTAAGAGCGCGGAGTCGGGATGTCTAGTGCATCCGGGTCTCCCTCAGGGGCAAGTAGTACGGACGCGAGATGAGGTGAAGCAGCAGCCAGACACTGGAACTCCTCCTGCCTGTCCTCAAGGACGTCCGTGCCAAGAGCACACTCACCCCCGACGGACGGAGGACAGACAGACGCAGACTCAGCAACAAGACCGGCAGCGTAGTCTAGACGACAGCTAGCAGCAAAGTCGACGAGCTCAGCAACAAGAGCAGACGCAGCAGTGGACTCAAAAGAGGGGTCAGTGACGACAGTAGCAAGGAGACGTGTGAGAGTAGGACTAGCAGCACGAAGAGAGTCGGACTCTGGGTCGGTAAGTGCAGGAAGGGAGGACTCAGGAGGAGAAGGTAAAGGGGCACGCAGAGGAGCAGTGGACGGACGCAGAGACATCCGGTGCGTGCCAGGGACAGGAGGAGGACGCTGACGCGAACCGCGACCACTAGCGCGAGCAGCACGAACAGGCGACGCAGGACGAGACGCAGGCTCACGACGCTCAGCAAGACCTCCAGTGGGACCAGTGTAAGGAGAGGGAGCAGGAAGTGGGGAGGCGGGCTCTAACTGGGACTGTGACTGAACAGGCTGTGGACACGCTGCAGGAGGAGAAAGACCAAGAACCTGCTGTAGGAGTGGAACGAAGTACGGTCGAGGCCGTGCGGCGACTCCAGACACAGCAGGGACAGCACCCTCAGCAGCAGCACCAGCGTCAACAGCACCTCCAGCTCCAGTACCTACAGCAGCACCAGCAGCACCCGCAGCAGGACCACCGCCAGGAAGGACAGCAGCAGTCTCAGCACCAACACCCGCGGCAGCTCCAGCTCCAGGCGGACCCGAGGGCCCAGCAGCTCCGGGACCAGCGGTACAAGTACCCTCAGCAGCCGAAGGAGCTCCAGCTCCAGCAGTACGTCTCCAGCGGCGAGCAAACCACTCGCGCAGCTCCTGTGGAGAGAGGGGCTCCCGCCGAGGCGAAGCACCCGGAGAACCGCCAGGTCCCGCACCGCCAGACGCCACAAGGGGAGGTCCAGTGGCCGCAGGCTCCGCAGCTCCAGGCTCAGTAGCTCCAGACGCAGCACCCCCTGGCTCAGCACCCCCAGTCACAGCACCCCCAGGCTCAGCACCCCCAGACTCCGCACCCCCAGGCTCAGCACCCCCAGTCGCAGTACCCCCAGGCTCAGCACCCCCAGACTCAGCACCCCCAGGCTCAGCACCCCCAGGCTCAGCACCCACGCGCGTAGCACCCCCAGAGTCAGCACCCCCAGGCTCAGCACCCGCAGCAGGACCAGAGTCACCAGCAACCTCGACCGGCTCGACTGCGTCTACCTGGGACACACCTGAAGGGGCAGGACCCTGAGGGGGAAGGGGGTCTACCGGGGGGGGACCTGGCACAAGGAAGTGCGGTGGCGGGGGGAGGGAAGGAGTGCGGTAGGGGAAGAGGCGGTAGAAGGGGACTGACTCGTCGAACGTGACGTCCTGGGAGGACAGAACACGACGAGAGGAGGGGTGGTAGAACTGCCACCCTGGGGCGTCAGGGGGGAAGCCGAGGAAGACACAGGGAGCAGCACGAGGGGACAGCTTGTCCGCAGACAAGTCGCGGACAAACGCCCGAGATCCCCAGACACGGAACGCAGACGCATCGCCGACCTTCCCCGTCCACAGCAGAGCTGGGGAGGTCTCCGACCGGGAGACCCTGGGGTGAAGGTTGATCTGATGCGCCGCGTACCGAACCGCAAACGGCCACAGAAAATGGGGGGCAGCCGCATGCATCATGGACGTACGAGCGACGTCCATGACCATGCCAATGCGGCGCTCAGCAATCCCATTTTGCTGTGGAGAGTCCGGAAGCGTAAAGGTCTGGCGGATGCCTCG